TCCACTTGTTTATCTTCTCCCTGCCTCTCCAGTGCAGGATCAAGGCCCTCTCCAGCACCCACTCCCCACTCCCGGCCCCCTCTCCTGGCTGGCTCTCCCCTAACACCTTGCTGCTCTTCATCGCTCCCTTTGCCCTTTTCTCGCTTTCTAAAGAGAGTGATAACCTAATGTAGCCCCCGTGACAATCTATTGTCAAACAAAACCCACATTTTTCACACTTACGGTCTCTGTAAATATCTTCCTGTCTTTCTGGAAGTTGGCATCATCATCCTACACTGTACAAAATGCTACTTTCTTTGCATGATCTACTTTTCACTCATGGCCAATAAATAAGAGTGCTGTACTATACAGTCGCAAGAAATGTTGAGAAGATTGTGATACCTTTTATTGACCAAGTCAATAAAATGGCAAATTATTCAGACAGCCCGGTCACTTTGACAGCAACAGCCCCCCTTGAAATTTGTGTCATTGTGTTTCAGTTTTATACATATTTACCTGACCCTTTTCCTTGGTTTCCTCAAGGGTTAGTTGACCCAGAAGATGGATTTTACTTTCCGGTACAAGTCAGAATTTTGATTTGCTTACTGGCTTCCTTTATCTTTTAGGAACTCCAGAGGTGAGATTTATTTATTTACTTCTTGTACTTCTGTAGCGCCGTCAATTAATGCAGCTTTTTACATATATACTGTACATTTACATCAGTCCCTGCCCTCAAGCAGCTTACAATCTAAGGTTCCTAACTCCCATTCATACATTTACTAGGGCCAATTTAGACAGGACAGGATCCAATTAACCTACCTGCATGTCTTTGGAGTGTTGGAGGAAACCGGAGTACCCAGAGGAAAACCCATACAGGCACAGGGAGAATATGCAAACTCCAGGCAGGTAGTGCCATGGTTGGGATTTGAAGTGACAACCCTAGTACTGCTAGGCAGATCTCCCCTGCAATAACCTTAGATTAGACTTTCTGCCTTTTTTTGGGAGTCTCACTTTTGCTGCATTCTCCTTATAAAATAGAGTAGTTGAGCGAATCTGTGAGGACTCAGTTGCAAATATTTGCTATTGCCAGTCCCCATGGGATGAAAATTTCCTACATCTACCTTAACTGAAATAGTGGTCTAGGCTGGTTGACTGACAAGTTTCTCTTCTTTTCTTCCCTTCCCAATTGTTATTACTTGGGGTCGAAGCACATTCAAACTTTGAGACTTTCATGTTTTCGGAGACCAACCTCTCAATTAAAGGCCTTTCCCATGCCATTCTGGTGTCTTGAAATTTCCCACCAGCACAACCATTTATTACATTACACATTCAGTTGCTTTTTTACCACTTACCCTCTCAGTCCTTTCCACAGTTTATAAACCATTTTAGTGATTCTGTGTACCACGAAGGCCTTTATCTACATACCTGTATATACATGCGCTTCACGCACTCATATATAATATATATATATATATTTCATTCAGTATATATTCCTGAACCCTTTGCTTGAATTTGTGGAAATGCAGTAGTTACAGATGGTAATTAAAAAGTTTTGATTTAATTTTTTTTTAAGTGCAACACAAAATTTGACATCCTAGAACATCTACTTGAACTATGTGATGAATCAATTTATTTCATTATGTTGTTAATAATGTTTCATTATTAATGTTGTAAGTCTCTGTACCTATCACTTGGTATATTTGTAGTATTGCTGTTGCTCTTGCACACAGGAAATTGGATGTTGAAAAGTTATTCCTTAATAATAAAGAGGAGACTTGGAATGTGCAAGACTTCATTGATTATCACTCAATGTGTTGACTATGCAATCTATTTCAATTTCTAAAAGAAAGTGGTGACATGTTTGTACTTTTGTGACTCTGTGTATAGTAGCTTTGCATTTTGCATATAAACTAGCACGCTGATGTATCTACCTATACGTACACCCTGATTTCTGTGTGCATCTATAAAGTAGTTCTTAGATAACTGTAATAAACTTTGTATTTTCTTTTTCTTACAATTTTGAGCACAAGATCTATTTGTTGTTTTGTTATTTCAATACAAATATTTAATAAAAAAAACATAATATATTCCGTACCTTATTATATGTTTATGTCTTTTTATTCCTACACAGATGTTAAAAGTTGGAATCTCTTTAGCCATTTGTAAATCTACCGTAACTTCCAGATTAAAGGAAAAATATTTTTTCTTAAATTAGTTCTATGATTTGAAACCTTTTAAGAACCTTTCACTGCCATTGCTGTACTACACCTGTTTGTAAGTGGAAAAAAAGTGAAATTATACTTTAACTGTGGTTTTCCTTGCTTATCTGAAATCACAGAGATGTTTCTGTGCAAAATCAATACGAATAAAGTGAACAAAAATCTGTTTCGCCTACAGCTATTACTGTATAAGACGCAATTATGTCTGTTGGAGTCTTACAGAAAATGTGCGCTAATTGTGCAAGTTAGGATAGACTGTTTAAAAGACTTAGTTCTGACTGTTCTTGGTACCTAGGAGTCTA